CGAACTTGCTCGATTACGACTACTACTGGTCTTCAGATCCGTCATCTTTATTCTTGGATTCGACGGACGGCCCTTCGCCATGCGCCGCCGCTTTCTTGAAATCCCTGATGCACGAAACGTTCTCTAAAGTGCATCTTTTCGACGGGAAACATACACTCATCCTGGAGGCCAGCGACGGCGGGAACCACTCCATGTCCGACATCGTGCAGAACCACGGCGGAATTTTGCGCTTGGCGGAAGGTCAAGAAACCGTTGGATATCGAAGACGCCTACGGCGAATCACCGCCGCCCCCTGCCGTTGTGGAAGCGCCTATGTGGCCGAACGTTGAGGCCAGACCTGCGAAGCCATCGGACCATGTGTTCCCCGAATCGGTTTGGAAAGCCTTCGGGGAACACGTGGGCATCTTGAAGATCATCTTGGCCGTCTTGGAGGCCTCTTGGGCAAGCTTTCGGCGATCTTTGGGGGTTCTTGGGCCGTCTCGGGCCGTCGGAAGGCCGAAAAGAAGGACATGTCAAAATCCGTCAGAAACCTAAGGACAATCCAGGTTTTTGGCTTCGTCTGGCCTTCCTGAGGGCCCTCGCGGGGGCTTCTTGGGCCGTCTTGGGCCAGCTTCGAGCCAACTTCGGCCATCTTGGTGGGTTCCTGGCACGTCTGACGCCGTCGGAAGCCGTTTGGGGGGCCTCTATGGGCCGATTTGGGGCCCTCTTGGAATGCTCCAGGGCCGTCTTGGAGGCCATTTTGGGCGTCTTGGAGGCATGGAGGCCATCTTGGGCCATCTTGGCCGTCTTGGAGGCCATCTTGGGCGTCTTGGAGGCCTCTTGGGCCGTCTTGAGGCCCTCTTGGGGCCTTCTTGGGGGCCTCTTGGGCCGTCATGGGGCCATCTTGGAGGCCTCTTGGGTGCTGTTGGGGCGATGTTGGGGACCTCATGGGCCGTCTTGGGCCGTCGGAGAGCTGAAAAGAAGAACATGCCAAAATCCTTCAAAAACCTAAGGAAAATCAATGATTTTAACCTATTCGGGCCTTCCTGGAGGGCGTCTTGGAGGGCTCTTGGGCCGTCTTGGAGGCCTTTTGCGGTCCTTTTGGGCCGTCTTAGACCATCTTGAGGCCATCTTGGACCGTCTTGGGTGCATCTTGGAGCCATCTTACCCGTCTTGGAGGCCATCTTGGCCGTCTTGGAGGCATCTTGGAGGCCATCTTGGGCCATCTTGGCCGTCTTGGAGGCCATCTTGGGCGTCTTGGAGGCCTCTTGGGCCGTCTTGAGGCCCTCTTGGGGCCTTCTTGGGGGCCTCTTGGGCCGTCATGGGGCCATCTTGGAGGCCTCTTGGGTGCTGTTGGGGCGATGTTGGGGACCTCTTGGGCCGTCTTGGGCCGTCGGAGAGCTGAAAAGAAGAACATGCAAAATCCTTGAAAAACCTAAGGAAAATCAATGATTTTAACCTATTCGGGCCTTCCTGGAGGGCGTCTTGGAGGGCTCTTGGGCCGTCTTGGAGGCCTTTTGCGGGCCTTTTGGGCCGTCTTAGACCATCTTGAGGCCATCTTGGGCCGTCTTGGGTGCATCTTGGAGCCATCTTACCCGTCTTGGAGGCCATCTTGGCCGTCTTGGAAGCATCTTGGAGGCCATCTTGGGCCATCTTGGCCGTCTTGGAGGCCATCTTGGGCCAAGTTGGGGCAACAAAGGCATTGACAGATGGATTTTCGGAAACTTGCGGGTGGCCGGCGGGACGGGCCGAAGCCCACTGGGGAGTTCTTTTAGAAAAAGAACCAAAACCAAAACCTGAAACATCCAGCACGCCGTGCACCCCTGTGGCAAGACCACAGGGGGCGGCGGATCGAAGACGCCTACGGCGAATCACCGCCGCCCCCTGCCTTTTTGGAAGCGCCTATGTGGCCGAACGTTGAGGCCAGACCTGCCAAGCTATCGGACCACGTGTTCCCCGAATCGGTTTGGAAAGCCTTCGGGGAACACGTGGGCATCTTGAAGGTCATCTTGGCCGTCTTGGAGGCCTCTTGGGCAAGCTTTGGGCGATCTTTGGGGCTTTTTGGGCCGTCTCGGGCCAGCTTCGAGCCAACTTCGGCCATCTTGGTGGGTTCCTGGCACGTCTGAAGCCGTCGGAAGCCGTTTGGGGGGCCTGTATGGGCCGACTTGGGGCCCGCTTGGAATGCTCCAGGGCCGTCTTGGAGGCCATCTTGGGCGTCTTGGAGGCCATCTTGGGCGTGTTGGAGGCCTCTTGGGCCCTCTTGGGGCCCTCTAGGGGCCATCTTGGAGGCCACTTGGGCCATCAGGGGCTCTCTTGGGGGCCTCTTGGGCGATCTTGGGGGCTTCTTGGGCCGTCTTGAGCCGTCGGAGAGCCGAAAAGGCGCAAATGCCAAAATCCTTCAAAAACCAAAGGAAAATCAATGATTTTGGCCTCTTCGGACTCTCCTGGAGGACCTCTTGGAGGCCTCTTGGGCCGTCTGGGAGGCCTCTGGGGGGCCTCTTGGGCCGTCTTGGGCCGTCTTGGACTCTCTTGGGCCGTTTTGGAGGCCGTCTTGGACCATCTCGGGCGGACTTGGAGGCCATCTTGGGCCATCTTCGCGATTTTTTGAGGATGTCCCGAGCGAAACGGCCGTTTTTGGGCATTGACAGATGGATTTTGTGAAACTTACGGGTGGCCGGCGGGACGGGCCGAAGCCCACTGGGGAGTTCTTTTAGAAAAAGAACCAAAACCAAAACCTGAATCGTCCAGCACGCCGTGCACCCCTGCAAGCAGGGGGCGGCGGATCGAAGACGCCTACGGCGAATCACCGCCGCCCCCTGCCTTTTTGGAAGCGCCTATGTGGCCGAACGTTGAGGCCAGACCTGCCAAGCTATCGGACCACGTGTTCCCCGAATCGGTTTGGAAAGCCTTCGGGGAACACGTGGGCATCTTGAAGGTCATCTTGGCCGTCTTGGAGGCCTCTTGGGCAAGCTTTGGGCGATCTTTGGGGCTTTTTGGGCCGTCTCGGGCCAGCTTCGAGCCAACTTCGGCCATCTTGGTGGGTTCCTGGCACGTCTGAAGCCGTCGGAAGCCGTTTGGGGGGCCTCTATGGGCCGACTTGGGGCCCGCTTGGAATGCTCCAGGGCCGTCTTGGAGGCCATCTTGGGCGTCTGGGAGGCCATCTTGGGCGTGTTGGAGGCCTCTTGGGCCCTCTTGGGGCCCTCTAGGGGCCATCTTGGAGGCCACTTGGGCCATCATGGGGCTCTCTTGGGGGCCTCTTGGGCGATCTTGGGGGCTTCTTGGGCCGTCTCGAGCCGTCGGAGAGCCGAAAAGGCGCAAATGCCAGAATCCTTCAAAAACCAAGGGAAAATCAATGATTTTGGCCTCTTCGGACTCTCCTGGAGGACCTCTTGGAGGCCTCTTGGGCCGTCTGGGAGGCCTCTGGGGGGCCTCTTGGGCCGTCTTGGGCCGTCTTGGACTCTCTTGGGCCGTTTTGGAGGCCGTCTTGGACCATCTCGGGCGGACTTGGAGGCCATCTTGGGCCATCTTCGCGATTTTTTGAGGATGTCCCGAGCGAAACGGCCGTTTGTTGGAGGATTTTTTCCGGTCGTTGAGCACCTTCCGGGTGGCCGGCGGGTTCTGCCGGAGCCCACTGGGGAGTTCTTTTGGAAAAAGAACCAAAACCAAAACCTGAAACATCCAGCACGCCGTGCACCCCTGCAAGCAGGGGGCGGCGGATCTAGTGGCCTTCGGCCTATCCCGCCACCGTGCCTTGGTTCTGGGTTGGAGGCTTCTTGTATGTGTGTCTGGATCTCGTGGTACGCCTCTCGGGGGCTTCTGGAAGGCAGTGTTGAGGCATCTTGGGGGCTGTTTTGGGGCCTCTGGGAGTTCATTTTGGGCCTCCTGGGGGCCTCTTGAGGCCTCCTTGAGGCCTCCTTGGGGCCTCTTGGGGGCCTCTTGGGGGCTCTTGGGCCCTCTTGGGGCCCCCTTGGGGCCTCCTGGGGCCCTCTCGGACCAGAAAGCTGGATTTTTGAATTTTTGGTCGCCCTTTTTGGCCCCTCTTGGTGCCGTCTTGGAGCCCTCTAGGGCCGTCTTGGGGGCCTCTTGGGCCGTCTTGGGGCCGTCTTGGGCCGTCTTGGGGCTGTCTTGGGGGCCTCCTAGGCCGTCTTGGGGCGATCTTCGAGGCCTCTTGGGCCGTCTTGGAGCGTCGGGAAGCCGAAAAAGCGAGAAAGCCTAAAACACCAAAACATAATAACCAATCATCAATTTTAGCCTCTCGGGGCCCTCTTGGAAGGCTTATTGGAGGCCTCTTGGGCCGTCTTGGAGGCCTCTTGGCCCGTCTTGGGGCCATGTTGGGCGTCTAGGGCCGATCATTGGGCGTCTCGGGGCTGTCTTGGGCCGTCTTGGAGGCACCCTGGGGTGCTCTTGGCCCGTCTCGGCGCCTTCGCGGCGTCGTACAAGCCCACGCGGAACACCGCAGGAGCGCGCAGGAGTGCGCAGGAGCGCCCAGGAGCGCCTGGGAAATTGAGGGTCCGGGCCCTTAAGAACCTTACAACGCTCTACGCCTGAGGGCTGCATGAGCCTTGGGACACTCCACTACGTGCCGAAGGCACGGTGGCGGATATGCTGCTATTGGGGAGCCCATCCCAGGTCGGGACCTTCCCATGCTTTATGCCGCCCATAAGCTCGGACTCTTGCTACGCGCTCGGTGACAGCGATAACGGGCAAAATATGACAGCATTCTCGGTGACGGCCACTTCTTTGTGCACGGGCACGTGTTGGAACGGTGTCACGAATCCCGAGTGCTTGCTTGGCAGCTCTGACTGCTACGGCACAAACGAAGGCGGTGGCCAGGCTGTCTTCGTAGCGCGTGCAGCAAGGGACAATTATCATTGGTTTGTGGAATCTGGTTGGCCCAAGGGCTCGGGCCATGCCACAGTGGAAATTTTGATCGTCGACGCGGTTGGCAGCAGCATGTCGACCACGCGTTGTCACAGAGTAGCAGCAGTGCGACCACGACCGCCGCCGCGCAGCTGGGCGAGGCTGCTGCAACAACCTCGGAGCCACTGATCGCATCTCCAGATCCGACCCCAAGCCCGACGCAAGCGCTGACGGCAACGCCGACGACGCCACCAACTCCGTCTTCGCCATCTACCACCTGCGCGCAGCATCAGTGGTACAATTCTGGATCACAGACTTGTGACGATTGCCCAGATGGGACTGAGCCCTCGGACGATGGGCTCTACTGCGAGGAAGAAAAAAGCACTTGGCCTGACGGAGATCGAGTGGGTGGCGCTCGGCTCCGCTGCTGCTGTCATCACGCTCATCGGCGGGCTGGTTTATTGGTTGTGTGGAGGAAGTTCCGACCAGAGCGAAGGCAAGCTTCGCCTCCCTCTGTGGTTCCACCTGGACCGATGGAAGTTCCGCCCGGAGCAGTTCCACCCGGCGGGTGGCCCTCGACAGCTACGTTATATGGTGGTCAATGATAATTATTCAATTAAACACGAGAACACAGTGGCCACAAGTGCGGCCACAAGGGCAGCCAGATCCATAAGGTTTTGTGCTCTTATCGGTAGCATCTCGCGGCAGCCTTCATTTACCTTTCAATTTCGGCTTTTCCAATATTGCCGCGCACTGGCAGGTAGTTGCCCCCCTTCCGAGATAAAAAAACGTCCCAAGATTCCTCCTAGTAGTGCCAAACAGATATCCCAAGAGGCTCCAAGAGGCATCCAAGAAACCTCTGGCCCTTGTGATCGCCCTCCTCCTGCTTCTCCCTCCTCATACTCCCCCTCTTCCTCCCCCACCATCCGATTCATCTTTCTTCTCCTAACTCCCTCATCCATCCAGCCAGCATCCTCCTTCTGCCCCTCCCTCCTTCACACGGTTCGGCTGTCCCCCTCTTTGCTCCCGCATGTCCCTGATGACCTCAACTCGCCTGGACATCGTTTCTGGATGGGCTGGTGGTGATACGCGAAACAAGTAGAATTTATTCACAATTTAGACACGAATTCGTACATAATTTAGACACGCTTTTCATAGATTTAGACCTGGGTTTGCACACACTTTTGTACACGATTTATACACGATTTAGACACTTTCGGTTAGACACGGATAGACTTTTTAGACACGGCTGGTATTTAGACACGATTTAGACACTCGGGCACCGGGCCTGCACGAGAATGCGATAGACACGCGGGTGTCTAAATCAAGCCCGAATCGCTGAAAGCAAGCCCCCGCTGCAGCGAGAGCGCCTTAGACACGCCGCGCGTCTAAATTATTTAGACGCCGTCTTCCCCCCCCCCCCCCTCTCCTCCCCTCCCCTTCCTCCTCCTGGCACCACCAAGCTTGCCAGTGGGGCGGTCCGTGCGTGTTGCTGCAGACTTTCCCCGCCCGTCTTCTGACCCCGCGACTGGCATCTTCCAGCGGCTTTCAAGATGGAGGGCGCCAGGTTTTTCAATCTGTGGCTCTCACAGTGTTGCCGCGCACGCTTGTATCCAACATTTCCCACGTCCACACGCATGGACGTGGCTTGGAAACATCTGGCGATTGGGGGCCTGCCCCCCCCCCCCCTCCCTTGGAAAGGGGATTTACATTGCTCCACGGAGGAATCGAAGGACCCGAGGACATTCCTCTCAGTGCCCAGCGGCACGGTGGCGGACATACACAAGCGGTGTCCTTGCTCTACACATCCGTGAATTTTCGGATTCTACGCTTCTTTTCTTCCAGCTGGGGGGCAAGGGTATTTATGCTTTTCACAACGGGGTTCTCGCCTGAGTAGCAGGCCCACGGGGAGCTTGTCTTTCACTCGGGCGCTTCCAGTGCAGGGTGGCATGACCTGCTGGGTCCCATGTGGAGGGGGCTCCTGGACGGGAGGGCTTGCACCGCATTGCAGCATCGTTGATACATGCTGCGCTTACTCTTGCCAAGCATCTCTTCCTTCTCCTCCGACGTAGCATTTCCTTCGTGATGTCGGCCACCGGGGGTCACGATCCCTGCCCCAGTGCCGGGCGCCCTATCGAGTCGCTCCTTCACTGTCCCAGGGCTGGGTCAGCGGCCTGCAGAGTCCGACAACGTTGGAACACCGACCGCCACAGCGCGAGGAGGTCTGGGTCCCCTCCTCCTCCTCCTCCTCCTCCTCCTCCTCCTCCTCCTCCTCCTCCTCCGAACCGCGTAAGCACACGTGCATACTAATTGGGCTGGGCGGGCGCTTAGGAAGCATGCCTGGCACTTGCCGTGTCGTCAGGCGTCGTCCTCCAGAGGGCAGAAGGGTGTCCCCCCAGCCCGGGAGCACTCAGATCCTTGCGTATTGTTGGCGAGCGCTGCGCGGCGCGCGTTACCAGTAACCTCGTGTGTTATACATGTGATCGTTTAAGGTAGTGGCTTGCACGAATATCACAAGACGTGTCAAGCTGCAGATCGCTTCCCACAAGCGCCGTGCCGAGTCCTACCCTCCTCCTCCTCCTCCTCCGCAGCGCCGGCGGCGAGGTGTGCCGCCCCGCCGCTGCCATCGTCCCCGCGCGTCCTCCAAGACCTCCGCCTCCTGCCATCGTCCCCGCGAGCAGGCAGTACACTTGCAACCGACTCGTCCAACTTGCTGCCCAGCCCTGCAGGTCTTGCCTTGATCGCAACATGATCATCATCATCATCAGCATCATCATCATCATCATCAGCATCATCAAAAACATAAGCATTCATCACCATCA